AGCAGCAGGCTCGTCACGTCCCCCCGCCGGCCTTCCGTGCAGTCTGGCAACCACATTTGTGCAGCCACAGCCGCGCGGGACGACCTCAACAGCACCGGGGGCGAGCCGCCCTCCCCTCTCTCCTTTGCTTCTTCCTCCTCTCCCCGCAAACTCCCTCCGGCGAGGTTCAGTACACGTCCATCCCCCGGCGGTTCGCGTGCAGTTCAGCCAGCGACGGCGTGTAGTATGGCGTACGACGGCATGCAGTTCCGCGACCCTCCCATGCACCACGACAACGACGAGCAGCAACATGGATGGGAGTGGACTGCATCCCACGTCGTACGTTCACGCAGCAAGCCACCACCCCGCACCCTGCGGTCTGCTCCCTCGCCGGTGGTGGATCCAAGCTCATATGCGCCCATGCAGTCCACTGCATCCGTGAAGGTCACCGGAGCTCATCTGCTCCTTTGTTCTTCAGTATGCATTTTGGTTCTCTTTTTTGCTTTCAAATTTATTGTATGCCGAAGTGCAGTTTGTCAAATGGGTGTATTCTTGCATGCAGTTCGGTGATGTTCTGTAAAAACTAAAAAATTTGCTGCTGGTAGTATAAGAAATTCAAACCGATAGTTTGCCTTTTGCAGTTCACTGCTCCTCTCCAGGCAGCACGCTATATCCTTTTTCGGGTGTTCATACAAAAATGCAAGACTTAGTTTGTATATTATAGAAAAAAATCTAATGTGGTTCATTTGTATGAAGGCTTGTGGTTCGCTGTGTAAAAAGAAAAGGAAAGAAAAACAACGATGTACCCCTTCTTTTGTAAGAGCAATTCACCTCGTCCTTGAGCCAAAACTACAAAAAAAAGAGCTGCCAAACAATATAAAAATGTTGTAGTTCTCTTGACCGCGTCATGCAGTGCAAAACTTGTTAAAACAAAAACAAATGTTATAAAATAAAAAACAAAACAATGCAGTACACTAGCCTCAAAACAAAAACAAATGTTATAAAATAAAAAACAAAACAATGTAGTACACTAGCCTCAAGAACGCGGTCTAAATGCATTAGTAAAAAAGAGTCACGGAAAGAAAAAACTAATGCAGTACTCTTGGCTCATCCACACAATTCAAAAAAGAAAAAGAAAATCCTTTCTTAGAAGTTCACTCATGCGGTTCACTTTAGGTAGTGTCGCGGCTCACTTACTCCCGATTTGAAGTGCAAAAAACAAGTTATAGAGACGACAAAAAAAAGATTGTGGTTCTTGCAAAATTTGCATCGACAAAGGAAATCATGAAGTTCACTTGACTGCCTGCTGCAGTGCGGTTTTCCGTCTGAAGCAGTGCATTCTTCTGTCCGATGAAAGGTCCACTCACTTGGTCAACGCGCATAAAAATTTAATAAGTATGAAAAAATACAACAAAAACTCATGAGGTTCACTTTTGATAGTGTTGCGGTTCATTTTCGGAAATGTTGCGGTCCACTCTCGTTCAATTTTTTTTTTGAAAAAAGACAACAAAAACTTTTGCGAGCAAGTTTATGTCCGACAAAAAGAAATCATGAAGTTCACTTGGCTGCCTGCTGCAGTGCAGTTTTCCGTTTGAAGCAGTGTGTTCTTCTGTCCGATGAAGTACACACGATGATTTTGGTCTCGCGAAAAACAGTGTACGCTTTTCGGTAAATTTAAAACTGCTCTTAAACCGTAAGAAATTAGAGAGAGTGTTCTACATGAAAAAGTTGCGTATCGTCGATATCTTTCCAACGACATATCATTTGAATCATTTTGACAAATGGTTTGTAAAAATTTCGCGAAAAACGGCTGCTGCCACTCGTCGTCCGCAACACGATTTTCAAAATTAACTTAAAACCGTAAGGAATCTTAAAAAACATTTCAACATATGAAAATTGCGCCTCGTATGTAGCATTCCAACGGCGTATCGTATGCCTCGTTTCGACAAACGGTTAGAAAACAATACCAAAAATTTTGAAAAAAATTGAAAAAACAGAATTCCGCGATTTAGTAGATTTGAAACTGCTCTTAAACCGTAACGAATTAGAGAAAATAATAAATATCTAAAAGATGCGCCTCGAAGATATCTATCCAACGGTGTATCGTTTGCTTCATTCCGACAAGCGGTTTAGAAAACAACACGAAAAAATGCTCGTTGTCACTCGTTATTGGCTGCACCATTTTTAAAACTGCTCTTAAACCGTGAGGAATCTCGAAAAGTGTTCAACATGGAGAAGTTGCGCCTAATACATAGCTTTCCAACGGTATATCATACGCCTCATTTCGATAAACGGTTAAAAAACTAGAGCAAAAACATTACCGAAAAAACACCACGTACTGTTTTTTACGACCCCAAGTTCACTAGTCTCTGTAATGCAGTGCTCTAGCTATAGAATGTGCAGTGCACCTGTGTTGAGCGTGCAGTGCGGAAGTGTTATCAGAATAGTCCCACACCATTGTCAACCTATTTAGTACTCCCTCCTTTCCGATTTATAGGGCTTATCTCAAAATTTTAGTTTTTCCATTTTATAAGGCTCAATTTGGTTGTTCCCCATCACATGTTCAGACTTCAAGGTGCATTAAATCATTGCATGCAAGTATTAAGAGAAAACTGACCAATGCATGCACTTTATGCATGCATGCATTGCAATTAATGCATTCGTAAACATAATTTTTTGAGGAAAGCAAGAGCATTAATTGGGTGCTTTTGCAAACTACAAAAAATATTCCACCACTCATCATCTACCTTGGTTGGTGAGATTTTTGAATTGAGCCTTATAAACCGGAAAGGAGGTAGTCAATAAACGAGAGAATTGCACAAGAAGCGGCCGACAGCTGGGACCAAGCAGCTCGAGCAGTATTTGTGTTTTTGAGGTGTGAGCACTTTAGAGTTTTTCGATGTTTAGCCCAGATATTAATTTTTCTCCTCTGAACAACAATGAAAACATTGCTGCAGATATTAATTGGGCGGGTTGTGGCCCGTCTAGCCCAGGCCAGATATCCAGCCCAGATATTAATTTTTTTCAAGTTGAAAATGGCTAGCCCAGCTATAGTTTTTTTAGGAATACCCAGGCAAGGTCAAGTTGTTATTCTCCGCCCCGCTCAGCTGCAAATCTTTCCTAGGAGGGATGCATTAGGCTTAACAAGAAAATGGGCTTTAAGAAATAATAAATGAGATGTAATTATAAAAATTGGGCAGTAACTATAAAAAAATGCACCAAACACGTGATTACTTTATAAAATATTATTTTTGGATATTGAAAATAATTAATTGTTGCCAGCGCAATGTTCCATTGGATTTTTACGTAATATAAATTTATATTGAAATTTGTATTTAATCTGACTAGAAATTTTGGGATAAAAATATTTTGGATCCCATCAAAATGTGGGAAATTTTATTGAATTCTGTTTTCAACGGTTGGTTGAAATGGGCTATACTTTTAACAAACTGTAAATGGGTTGTAGTAAATTCCATTAGAATTCAAAAATGGGCTACACATTCTTACAAATCTCAAATGCGCTATAAGTTCTCTACCACACACTTCTGGCCTTACTAAGTTGACGCGTCCCCTAAAAAAACAAAGTTGACACATATGCAAGGCTTTGTCAACTTATAGTCAACACACGGTTCTAGCAGCAGTGGCCGTTGGATGTCCATCCAACGGATGCCATGCTTCTTCTTCAATCTCGGATATTCTAGCTTCACCCGCCCAAAAAATGATTCCTCCCCCTGACATCTAGGGCGCACCATTTTGAAAGCTGGCCTGTGGGCCTACTAAGTTAACGTACCAAGGGCTTTGTCAACTTAGTCAATATAAACAATTCTAGCTACAGTGACTATACGATGTCCATCCAACGGCCATCGTGCTTCTTCAACCTCTGGTCTTCTTGCTCCAGCCGCCCAAAGCAGCGCCGATCGTGCCGCCTGCTCCTGCCTCCCGTGGCCGGTTATGCTGCCGCAGAGGCCTCACTGCCCCCTGCTACTCCCACCGCTGGCCAGGCCATCCCTCAACTCACCCACACCCCTTTTTATTCTGCGGCGACGGCAGCGCAGCTGTAACACCCCGGATATGACTTTCCCAATATGTAAACCCACTCTTGCTGTTTCCGGCCTTAAGTTAATTTATTTTCTCAGGTTCGGGTCTTTGTCTCCGTGTGTTGTTATCATTGTCATGCATCTCATATCATGTCATCATGTGCATTGCATTTGCATACGTGTTTATCTCATGCATTCAAGCTTTTTCCCCGTTGTCCATTTTGCATTCCGGCGCTTCGTTCTCCTCCGGTGGTCATTTCTAGCCTTCTTTTGTGTGTGGGGATTAAACATTTCCGGATTGGACCGAGACTTGCCAAGCGGCCTTGGTTTACTACCGGTAGACCGCCTGTCAAGTTTCGTATCATTTGGACTTCGTTTGATACTCCAATGGTTAACCGAGGGACCGAAAAGGCCTCGTGTGTGTTGCAGCCCAACACCCCTCCAATTTGGCCCAAAACCTACCAAACTCTACTCCATCCTCTAGAGCGTTCGATCACGATCGCGTGGCCGAAAACCGCACCTCATTTGGACTCTCCTAGCTCCCTCTATGTCTATTTAAACACCCCCCGAATTTCGGACCTCCTTCCTCCCCGAAACCCTAAATTTCTCCTCCGCCGCCGCCGGACACGTCCGGACGGACCGGACGCGTCCGCGCCGCCACCGCCAACCAGCCATCGCCCGCCACGTGGCACCCGCCGCCGCCTCGCACCGCGCGGCCCGGGAACCCACGGCCGGCCC